GTCAATTTTGCACTCGGCTTGCTGTACACCACCTTCCCGATAATTTTCCTTCTCCGTCTTTAGCGAATGATGCTATTGGAATCTTTCATTTTCTTCCTACGTTCCTCTGGTCCATTGCCGGGGCGCCCTCTCTTTTCTTATTTTCTTCTTCGTTTACCTGTCTGTTCTTCTCGTGCCTTCTCAAGTGCTCGGACTGTCTTATTCCACTGCAGAATACTCGAGCAGTGAAAATGGCGAGCAAACGCGAAAGAGACTGAAGTAGGCCTAAGAGAGTTTCAATGTTTTAAGCAGCCCAACGCAGTTACGCGGTCTCAAATGTACCATTCTTAATAACCTGTAAGTATAAAACACATCAAATACTACTTGTGTATAGTAGCTCTTTATTTCAGTTGAATAAAGTGGAAAAACATTTAATTGGATTTACAAGTACGTGTGCTGGTGGGAAAACAGAGGAACGAAAAATACGTAATACGCTAAAATTTTGAATTAATAAAATTGGGGAGTTATAAGTTTCCTCACCCAAGTAATTGTCCTCAGAATATTCTCCTATTTTTTTAAGCGGCGCTTAGTAGACACTCAGATAGACACATCTGCTAATTATTATGGTTATTTATTATTAACTCTTTCATAGAAATTATTTTGCGACACTGCAATGAAGGAAACGTGGGTTTATAAAGTGATATGAATGAATAAATAATTCTATTATTTAATGACGATTTTTCAACTGTATAGATTCATATGCAACTCAGACACTGAAGCTCGTTACCATTTGTTTTATATGCATACGTGTATTTTGCGTAGGCCTACGAATTAAATATTGGAAGAGCTCCTTTTGGCTAGTTTCAAGCTTCGGTAACACTCGGAAGGAAACGACAATGCTAGAAAGAAAATCAAGAGAACTGAATACAAATGCAATAAGCAAGATGTTGCTATCCCAGAAGTCAGAAGTCGTGTGTATTTAGCGTAATGAATCATTTAACTAGTAATCAAAATTTACATGTAAAGTAATTAATGTTACATTTCTTTCTCGGAAGCTTTCGTCAATATGAAGATAATAAAATGTTTTTCACTTGTTTATGATTTAACGCTGTGTGCTAAAGTAGGCCTATGTCTGTAGCATCAGTTCCTTCCAAATAAATTTCCTCTCAGACGACATATGGCAGCAATACGCAACGTATTATTACCTGTATTGCCACACTTCACTACTTATTAAAGAGCACGAACAAAACAGATAAGCGTCTTGACGTAGTGGAAAATCGACTTGTTTCGCATTCGAAAGGTTGCCGGATCGAATCTCGGCTGGAAGACTAGATATTGTAACTGATTTACTTCAGAAGACCTGTATCTTCATTCTCGTATCTGTGAGAATCTCAAATTTCACTTAAATCCGTATAATTTGCAGTTGTTGTTGATGTTATAAATGTTGTGTGCAATGTCTCAGTTATTCTTGTACTTTACAAGAGCGCAGATATGTTGATTATGGGCTTATTTGTGTTTGTGAGTGTTCTAACAGGGTCGGTGTTGTTAGTATTTTTTAGTCTTTCATTGATAAATCCATTTATTTTATCACATTACTTTTCCCTTAATTTTAACATATTTATTTGAATGGTTAGTCAGTACTCAAGCACGCTAATAGTTATTTCTCTTTTGTGAATGAGATTCTCTTATTCATTTGTAGAATCACTATTTGAGTCGATGTTTTTGAATAAATGCGACATGGAAGAAAAGAGTGAAGACGCCACAAGCATTTAATGCACTTGAGAATATAAAATATCCACTTTATTTCAGATACCAGGTGTAATATTTATATTGTTTCTGCAGAGAGTTTTATTTTTTGGAATTCAATTTCACTCTCAGTTACACCGGAACTGCAAAATTTTGTATAGTAGAAGACATTTCAGCTATAAAAGAAACAGCTGTTTTTGAATTGTTCGTGTCGGCAGTATCGGTATACCTGCAGAGGAAACTGGTTTCTGGCGGAGACGCGAATGCAGCCAACAACTTGACTCTGACTCCCTGCCCGACTACAATGCATCTACTTTACTATCTAGTCACAGATGTTTTCTATAGACATTGAATAACTGGACTAGACAACCAGCTCGACCAGATGCAATTCCTGTCTGGGTTACCTCGTGACTCTTAACAAAATTGTTGAGTCTCACATTTTTCAACAAACAGGGGATTATCTGCTTACAAACATGAGGCCGTTTGTGTATTTCAAGGCAAGGAAGTCAAGGACAAACAAAGAACAAACAATAAAATAAATTTTTAGAAGCCGGTTTCTGTTGTTGTAATTAGTAGACTGAAGGCTGCGACAAAATGTAACATGTTCTGGAACGACTAACGCGTAAACACTTTTAAAATATTCAAAAAATATATTTCAATCATAAATTTCATGTAGGACACGTTATACTGAATGGCGTTCCTGTGGGTTTTATTAGATCATGAAGATAAATATATGGACAGTGAAACAGAAAGAGTTAACAGCTATTTACTTCGTAATTCATATGAACTATATCTAATGTATTCTGTTTGAAGCAATTTTAAATTCGAGCCTGACGTCCACAGTAATTAAAATATCAAAAACTTCTGATCAGTTTAAGAAGTAAATAATTTTGTTAGTTTCAGTTTTATAAGTACCTTCAGCCTTGAAGAATGGCCACAGAATGTAGGACAAAATCATAATATGAAGTGGCTAAAGAATACTTCGAAACTATGAAAAATTTAAATATTACTTAACGACAATAACAATGCAAAATTACATTTACGAAAAACCTAAATCACAATATTTTCGTGAAATATTATCTACCATTCAATTCAGAATTTCATGTCTTCACACCTCCTACCTAAAAGTGTAAAGATATAATTTCGCTTTTATGTGGACGTTGTCATCCTAAGGGAATACTTAGATTGGAGGTACATGAGAATACAGTGCTCAGGAGCATTTTTAGAACTGTGACAGAGAAAGCTGAAATAGCTGGGAGAAGGCAGGAGAATAACCCAGAAAGACGAGCTATAAAATATATAGATATAGTTTGCAAAATATTATTAGAGTCATTAAGAGGAGGGTGACGTGTAGCACATGTACCCAAGCACATACAGATAAAATTATAATGCGTAAAAAATTTGGTCCAAAATGCTGAAGGAACATCATTTTGAGGACTTAGGCATACGTGGAACGATAATTTTAAAACAAATCATAAATAAATGGAGTGTGAGAATATGGCCTTGTTTATCTAGCTCTGAATAAGGACTAATGGCAAGATTTTGTGAAGAAGCTAATGAACTTTCTGGTTCTGCAAAATACAATTTACTCCTTGACTGACTGAACTGCTTTAGATACTCAAGGACTTAAATCCATGTAGTTGGTTCAGGTACTTAGCAACTATTGATGACAACATTAAAAAAGAAAACACGACAGAACATCTACCGCGTAAACATAAAAATATTTTAAAATGTGGATAATGTATTTCCATCATTTTAATATCGCTGATGGGTTCTTGTGAACATGGTAAAGGACCTTCGGTTTCCTTAGAAGGTATTAAATTTCTTGACAAGTTATCGACTGTTGTATAGAATGACTTTTCTCTGCGCAGTTATTTTTATCTGCTGTTTCGTTGCGAATTGAACGGTACATAAAGATAAACGCCGATTCTTCCTTTCATAGTTGAGTAAACTGCAAATTTTATTTGTAATGATTATTAAACAGAAAAATATAAATATTTGCTTCATGGGGTACCATTTACAGACAACAATATGCAAGAATAAAGAAAACTTGAAATTTGTCAGCAGTGCATTCACATGTTATTGCAAAATGCAGAAGTTGTCTGTGGGATTTCACGTTCTGACGGCGGAAGTATGAAGATTGCTAACTTCTGGGATGTTGCGCCATGTAGTTTGGTAAAAGTTTACCAATATTTCAGAGATGCTTATTGTCTCAATCATCGGGGTATCAGGAGGTAGACTATACGGCACGAAAACCCTCTTAATGGATTGGATAGATCAGTTCAAATTATATTAAAATCCATATAATGTAACAGAATGTCTTGGGTAAAGCATAAAGTTTCAGCATGAAGAATTGTATGTAGAGCCATTCTTAATTTAAATATCATAATTATTATAGCTTTATTAAGCAAAGAGCATTGTGACTGATGAGATTCAAGAATGAGCAATGTCGAGGCATTATACTCTTGTTTCACTGATGAGTCATTTAACTCGGCCTTGGTTATCGAACCAAGAACGTTACGGCCACTGTCACATTGCTGGTCTATTATTGTCTCGTGAGAGTGCGCCATTTAACGTGCGACTAGTAGAGCCAGCTGTTAAATGTCATTGTTCTTTGGAGAATAGGACCTTGATATGGAATCTATTACTCGTAATCGCAATGAAAAATATAACATGCCATGTTTAATATTCTCATAGCCAGTACTTCGATTTTGATTTGTTTATCAACGATGAACTCATGACAAAGACAGCATTGAACTTCAGTTAATCAGGGCAGTTGGTCTATGTGTTCTAAACATTACAAGGCTATGCAGAGTGACATTTGTAGGATTGCCGGAGGGCATAACTGTTTAATGGATGACTCCTATAGAAAGTCGTTTCTTCCAGGAAGGAGGACGGATAATTAAATTTAACGGGAAATAATAGATAAGTAGCAAACATGATGTTGGTCCATTGTGGCTCAAGAAAGCCTTTGCGCTCTTCTAATGAGAGTAGAATGAGACGAATTCTTATGGTTTACTCTTCTCATAATACGACCCGTGGAAATGCAGTGCCTCGTGCAGATTCTGCAATGTGGTATTCTTCATTACAGAAAGTAACAAGATCCTTGGATGAAGGTCTGAGCTAAGGTAAGCGGAGGAGATGCTAAGACTTTGGTTTGTTGGTCAATGCGGGGAAGTCGACGTAAGGGACGCGGCTAGCAGTTACAGAGAATGTTGTTGGCTCGGAAAACCCCTCAGGGCTCTCTTAGTTGTCTGCTGCTTCTAAAGGCCTCGCCTCCTCTTCGTCTTCAGCAGCCACAGCCGCCATTACTTTTAGGAGTCGTGTCTTTGGCTTGGGTTCTTATATACGAATGGATGAAGAAAACGAACCAACGAACGAACCGAAGCCTCTCGTGCAAGGTAAGCAAGCCAACGACAACTAGCTGCCAGACTCAAGCAACGTGCATGCCAGTAGAGCCGTAGTTAACAGTGGAAGTAGAAGGTTATACCGGGCAGTCTAACAAATATACTAGAAACAATTTATAAAACCAAACAAATAGTTCATTTCGTCTAAAATTGCAGTTGAAAATCTCCTCCATACGATGCCTTTATGAACAAACATAACTTAATTCTGTGGCTGTATATCGATAATTATTTACATCGTTTTTCCTTCAGCAATTGCTCCCGCCAGATTCATCTTCGATATTTGTGGAAAAAGAATTCCGTATCAGTGCCATTATTTAAGACAGCCATCAAGATGTGTGCTCTAGTGTTTTTGTCTCTCTCTTTCAATATTAAACTCGCCAATTCTCGCATCCGTGAGTACATTTGAATTGCAAGTTCCGTTGCAAAATTATCCACGTACAATATCAACAATACGATGTGTACAACATTAAACAAGTGCTGGGTGTAATTTCTTCGTCTGTGATCCAGTCTTGATTACAAGTAAGTACTTAACGTGTTTCACTGCTTTCGTGATGAGAATGATGTACAAGTTCTTGATGAATCTGTTCAATGTAGTGCTTTGCTCTCAGGTACACTGTGCATCCATGTCTAACTGAAGAAAACTTTAACACACATATATAGAGCAGTAGTGGACTATTCGCTGTCTTGTGCAACACTTGACGTCAAAAATATTTCTTAAAACAATCCAACTCTGAAGAGAAACAAACTGTGATAAATTCGCATTGTTCGTGAGTGAGTAATTCCGTGAATGGTCTTCTAGTGTTGAGGATAACAAGTGTATATATCTTCCAAAATTTACTCGCTTCTCTACCACATCCAAACCAACCGAAGTACGGAGGTACACTAAAAGAACAGAACTCGTAACAACACGAACTTGTTGGTGGAAACGACGGATGTGAACGGAACAGGTTGGCACTCTTATAGAGGGAACTAACTAGCTGTAGAGGACACCGAACACTGTGTTGTTCAAAACCGGTGTTACATGTTGAGTGCACAAACCAGGGGTCCAGCCGTAGCTGGTTTTAACCTTCCGCTACTGCCCACTGCTGCAAACTTGCTTCTAATTCCCCTTACAGAAACAGACATACCTTCGTGTGTGTGTGTGACGTTATATAAGGGCTTTTAATGTCATGCCTTGTGCCTTTATTTGCTAGCTCAACAGGGAACTTACAAGAAGAACCTGAAAAGTTAGTAAGAACAGGGGAAAGAAAAACAGGACCTCCCCTACATTGAACCTGCCGAGTAATGTACCCTTCCCCTCCTCTAACGTTCCATCCAAAACAGTAGAAAACAGGTTCATCATAAGTAGTTACTACTATATGCTTTACTACTTCTACTACTTCATTCGTTGTTTGGAGTATTTTAAGCAGAAGAAGCACCCATTCCGGTTTTCTTCACGCGAGCTCTTGTATTTTTACATTGGTTCACTGACAGAACCGGTCGCCTGTCATAATAATATCATCACGTGCCCTACCTGTTACACAACAGTTAAACTTGCACCAGGTTCCGCTATTGATGCCCAGAACTAAACGGAGGTGTTCCCAGACAATTCAACTAAGAGGTCATTAATACTATCACTCTTACTCCTTCCACAAAAACATCTGTAATTTGAACAAACAAGTTAACTTTTAACAAACTTGTTCTAAATATACGTTAATCAGAGACATAAATACCATGTTAACTCGTCACAAATGAATGGAGTAATTGAATGGATATACAAGTGGTACATAAAAACTGAATAAACGTTTAAACAAATATTGCACGTCGCACAAATTAACTTGCCAAAAACAAAAGAGCGAGATTTAATTTGAATAGCAAAATAATTGTTTAAGAAACGATAAAATTACATAATGACAAAACGGGGATTGGAAAACTGTGTGACTGTACCCCAAGACAGTCCTCCATCACCCCCACCCCCCATGGCATCGCCTGCACCAACATCAACCCCACCACCACATCAGTCAACAAGTCCGCCGATCATGCTGGCCACGATGACACCAGTCAGTGTCATCGGACTGGAAAAAGAGTTTGGTGATGAAGATGATGACAATCAGAAACCAGTTTCCCTGTATCAAACACACATTATCACAAGTAACCAACTGAAGGATGAATTCGGACCTGACGAAGACGAAAAGAATTCTAGCGACGTCACATATGAAGAAAGAGTAAGGACACCTCACGAACAAGCAAAGGAATTATCCGTCAGAACCGATGAAACTTCTGCAACAGAGACAATACCTCAAGTTCATCTGGTGGACCCAGGGACTGGAGCTACTGTAGTGGCTACTACAACTGGGGCTCCAAACAACGCCACTGTTTCTGTCGTGGTCCAGCAACCTCAGCTTCTGAACCAGGCGTACCAACAGCAACCCGGAGCAGGGACCACGGTTCTAGTTCTGTCTGAGCTTGTGGAGGACATGTCTCCAGTCATCGGTATCAGGTAAGGCTATCATCAGTTGCAATTATAAATTTTTGTCAGAAACGCAGGAGAGTGGAACTGCCCTTCTCCACCCTCCCAAATTTTCGTGCACCTGAGTACAATAAAGTATGGAGCTCATCCCTCCATCTTGAACACTTCCGTCATCTCCAACACGTATCAGAAAATAAATAGGGGGGACATTAATTTTACAGTTTGCAAATATGGCTCATGCAACTTCCTGTACGTATTCCAAACAGGTGGCATTTATTCATTCACTTTTTAATTTACAGATATTTTGTATCTGCTAGGAATTTGTAACAGAAAATAGTCTTTTAGAAATTCTATACATACGCTTTAAACATTTATATTAATACTAAAAGTTATTGCAAAAAGTAACGTAAATAAATCTTTTAAAACACATTCAAAAGTTTGTTAAGTAAAGCTTCATAGCCGAAGACAAAAGAAACCTTCCTCGCTGGATATTGTTTCTAGTACGCAGTCCCGAGGCTGACCAGTCTAGATTGTGTTTTTCGCGGGTTTTCTGCAGTGCCAGAATTGCACATACACTAAACTACAACATGGGCTTCATGATGTGAGGGGCCCCAGCAGTATATTATAAACGTGTAGTTTTATACTACCACCTTTGTATATCGGTGCTAGTACAGTGCCTTTATTGACATCAGTTTCGTGCTAAATTTTTATGTTTCCTTCAGTCAATAATAGATATATACTTCGACTTTTGAATTTTTGGGGCCTCTTAACTTTGACATATCTCAGAAGGTCTGTCTCGGGTCCTCCGGCTATTCAAACGGCCGCTGGGATAACAGCCTGCATTAACAATAGAAGATATTTTGTTTTTATCCACACTTCATAATCAGCTACGTAGTACTGAATCTCCCTTTCTTTGTTCATCTTGTCAAGACATTCTCTATTACGAAACCCTGAAGTTTTATCTTCTGATGACGACAAAGTACCGTTATTTCTATTCATTTGGCTTTCATAGTTACACAGACATCAGTCCACGCAGAATGCCTCATCACTAATTACATGCTTGTAAAATGCATGTAGTTAATTAATCAATCAGTTAGTTATTTTCATGAATGTAGATATCTATTCGTACATGGACGTTGTAGTCTGGTTACAGTAATAAATTATAAGCTCAGCAGAAGACAGTTTAGAATAAAAATAATAAAATCTCTCTCTCTCTCTCTCTCTCTCTCTCTCTCTCTCTATATATATATATATATATATATATAATATCGCATGAATATTTTTTTCTTAACGTACATACTTTTTTGCAAGCGTAACAAATATTGCATCAAAGACCAAGAGCGCAATCATAAGTTTGCAAGGGAAATATTTTGTAATAATATACAACTATAAACCCATCTGCAGGGAATCCATTAGTGGAATCACGTTTATTGTGTTGTGAAGACCTTTAGATAGCTTCTTTAATGTACGTATTCTCCTTATATGAATAAGATTGTGAAGCTGTCAATTTCCTTTACGAACTACAAGAAATTGTGGCTGTTTGCTGGACAGTTATACTCATATTTGCCAGAACACTGTCTAAAACGAAAATGCACGTTGGTATTTAGTCAACACAAGGGCATTTACATTGCTTTTGATGTCTCACAGCGTCATTGTCCTCTTGGTTACCATTCCGTGTATGCTAAACAGTTGTGGCTGACGTAACTTTAATAGTGCGTCAAACATAAAGTAATTGATTTGGTGTCGGAATGCATTGTGTTTTGGGAGTTGATAACGTAGAATATTACTTAAGAAATTAAAAAAAAAAACATGTTAATGCACTTAACTGTTACATTTTATATTCGGGTATTTTCATTCTGTGATAGCTCTTTCATCCCAGCACAGGGCGAGTGAGAATGGTACACCTGTCTGGATTACATTAACTTGTATAAGTACGGACTGTTGTGTTATGAACTGGTTGTGATGCTGCGTAGTCTTGTAGATGGTTATTATGTTCCAAAGGAAATTATCACCTCAATTTTTAGTGCAACATCTACAGTACTCATCTCAAAAATAATTTAAGACAAATGGTTTTTAACGATCGACGTTAAATAGAAATGTTTGTGAAATTATTCCAATTCTAGATGAGAACATAATTTTATTTCTTTGCTATTGGAAAATAACTTCTACAAGACCAAATAGAAATCGTGTTTCGTTGCCACTCTTAGGTTATAAAAGATTGTAATTCTTAAGTACTATAAAAATGGTTAATTAAGCAGTTCCACTCTTCGCCATATTTCGTGACTAGCATTCTATTATGATAAAAGTTTGAAATATTAATATGTTACTAACAGATCACATCACCGTAATACCTGCTGAGCTTCATTTGTTCAAGGTTCTGCAGGCAGAGTGATTACATTTCTGATTAACAAATCGCATGCTACATTAATAATTTTTACGACTCTGTACATCACATTAGTTGCATACTCCAGACACATGTCTTTTTATCAAGGACAAGTGCCAAATGACCGTATGTAACCGTTAGAATTTAAAATGAGCTTTTATATAGCCCTCTTAAAATTACTGAAGCAGTAAGATCATAAGTTACATACACAAATACACACTGTTAGTGTTATAAGTACCTCATATTTGTAATTATTTTAGTTTTATTGGTGTATGGGATTTTCATGGATCCATTGTTAGGCTGAAGGTCCTGACCAGAGATAAATGCGTGTCTTATAAATGCATGTGGTTCCTTCTTAAGGACTCAAGTCACGATCATATTTGTCTCGTAAAAGACTTTTTTCGGAATCCCCTGTCCATTATTTTGATCCATGGCCAGTTATCTGCCTATCTAGAGAGACTTATGTGAGGGAAATTTTTATTGCTGCTGGGTTCTCAAGAATGTGTAATTTCAGCTGCTTTAGTCGTTTCTATAGGCTTACTAATGAATAAGAAGAAGAGGGCATGGGTTTGTATGTCCGCTGAAGGAGATAAATAGACAAATATTGATGTAAATGGATCAGCAAATGTTTCAGGGACGAACGTAATTTGAAGAAGTTTACGTTATCATTAGAACAAATCCTAAAGTGTGAGACCCATTATTCCGAGCACAAAAGAATTCCATCACAGTGCAGCTGCGTGCTGTGAAAGAAGGGAACACGCACTTGAGCTGTTCTGTTGTAGCGATGTTCCCATCTCTTACTGATTTAAGCTGCCCCGAAACTATTTAGTGGCCTGAGTTATAGAATGACATATCAAATATTAGGCCTAATATATGAGTTTCCAATAATATCATTTCAATATTACAAACATTTTCAATTTATGAGAGGGATCTCATGACTATAAAGATATCCATGGTGGTTGTTTCGGCTGTGTCTTGAAATGAACATACTGCATCCAGTTTCATCCCTGAAGATGAGGCATTATGTTCCTCCGAAACGATGGTAACCCTCACCATACGTTGACATGGCTTCACAACCCAAATGGCAACAGTGTGACAACATTTTTGATTAGCTTTAGATATCTTAAGTATATGAATTAATAATAAATGTTTCATTGTACATTAGATGATTACTGTAAAGTCGGATTCGATTAATTGTATATAGACCTACTTCAAGACGAAACGTTTTTATATTCAATAAAATCTCGCGCGACAGGCCTTGTCTAAAAGGAATCGTGGTACAAAGTTTTAGAGACACACACTGTCTCCATCATCTACGCTGCGTAGTCTGAGCTAATAAAGTATACATAAATAATTAAATAAATGTTATTAAAAGCAAAAACAAGAAATGGAGTAGTTAAGAAACAAATTTAGTGAAAGGTGTTCAAACGTAGCCTGAAACGTCTGCCATAAAAATATTTTTGCTGACGTTTAATGGTAAAATAAAGATTTGGCGCTGAGACGTGAATATTTGTGGCAAAAACATTTTGATATGTGTATGGATAAAATAAGTTTTCAAACCTGTTCCCTTCTCTCCAAAAGTAGTCATAGACACGCTACTCGCTTCTGGATAAACTCTCTTTTGGTTGCAGAAGGGGAGATTGCTTGGCACAGTAAAATTTTAATACGATATTAACTTCACTGCTGGAGCACGAACCTGTGTGACTTGTTTATGTAAAGCAATGGGACAAACAAGTGAACTCTATTCTTAAATATATTCTTATTTTATTGTTGATTTTCTGTAATTCCTCTATGGTTGTTCCTTGTTGAAATAACTTCAAGACTCTTTTAGAGATTTACCAGTGTTTTCAACTGAGTGTTTTAATTATAAATTTCAGTCTGAAGAATACGCCCCAAGTCTCATTTCGTACACTTACAAATGAGTACATTCTGAGTCACAAAGAATGAGTATTACGAGCTTAATATTTGTGGAATGATGATAAATGAATATTAGGAGAACTTTTTCTTTTATCAAAAACAGAAAAGCCCTTGAAAGAAATTTAGGTCTGTAGGTCTACAAACTATATAAACTAAAATATCATGAATTACGGGTTATTACCTAGTCAAAGTACACAGTAAAATATACAGTTCACGCGGAAGACACTTTGAATATTCGTCGCTCTTAAAGGTATTAAGAATAATGAAAAATGAGATACCCATAATACACCCTGACTTTATCCGGGTGGATATGTGAACGTTCTCAATGGATATCTAAAATATTGTAACTGTTTGTGGAGGGCCGAAACGTACACTATTAGAAGGATCGTAAATGTTCCAGGCATTTTTTTCTGAAACATTTATTTTCACGTGAGTAAGAAAAATATTATTGTACTAGTATCACGATGTGATTTCAAATAAAGTAAATAATTATTAAAGGAATCATGAACATTTCAGCCATTTCTGCTGAAACATTTATCTTAACATGAGTATGAAAAATTTATAGTACGGGTGTTGTGATGTGATTTCAAACCAATGCATAACACTGTATGGCATTGCTGTATTTTACTTGTCTGTATTGAAGTGTTTTAGCATTATTTATATGCCTTATTTTTCCATACAAGGCAAGCCGTCTCTCGAAATAGAAGCCATCAATTAACATTTATTCCAT